CGGGCAGGGGCATTGTTGGGCGGGTTATTTGGTTTGGTCTGTCAAAGTTAAGCGGCGGCCTCTGCACTGGCACACGACGTGCATGTCAATGGGCATGACAAGCCCGGGGCCCTGGGGCGGACCAAACCCCGCCTCTAAAAAGGGATGGCATAGTGTATTCCGGGACTCTTACAATGTTGCGTTAAATTTGCACAAGTTGGCAAAAATGTCGCTCGCTTGTGCAAATTGTAAACTTCTGCTTCGCTTTTATATAGTATATGCGGGAATATGTTTGTGGCGTTGGGTTGCGAGCTGGAGCGTGTCCACATAAATAACAAAATTTAAGAACAAAATATCAATATCCACTTTGCGGTACGCCAACTGCATGCGAATGAGTCGCTTTTTCGCTGGCATTGCGACAGTCTGGCAACGTCTTGTTGAGCGCAGTTGGGCGCAAAAAAATAAAAGAATTTTGAATTTCAAATGGAATTCTATTTCTTACTTTTGTTTTGCATAATTTTCAATTCGCTGCAAGCGACATATTGCGCAGCTAGTTTTCAGCTTTTCTTACTTATCTTTTTTGGCACTCCGCAAGAAACTTGCTGAATTTTACGCGTATCAATTGCAGCACATAAAATTATGTGTTTAAATTTGCAAGAAACCAAGAAATTTACAAGATGTTAAAGAGAAGAGTCTTAGAATAATAATAATAATAATAAATAAATGTGATGCACGTTGTAGCTAAGGATTAAAATTAGTTTCAAGAGCGGGTACAGATATATGAATCTTATGACAATACAATATGATAAAGACGGGGAGCGAGACTGACCAAAAAATTAAAAAATACAAAAATACGAACAGAAATAAGATTGAAATGTGATCTTAAGCTCTTTCGAAATTATATCTATTCTAGTTATAAATAAATCAAAATTGAGACTGGGATAGAACCTAAAAGATGAACCATAGGTTTTTTTCAACAAGGAAGAAATATTATTTACTGTAGCTGTATTTTATGAAGGTACTTCAAAGCCGTAATGAGTCATTTAATGGCTCACAAAATTTAAAATTATCAAATATCTAGATGGCCAAGGACTACTCTTTTATGATATCGACATAAAAAGAAGCAGCAAACTCCCTTTTGTAAAGACCTTGGCTTTTTCTCCCGCAGTGCTTACTTCTCTCTCTCTCTCTCTCTCTCTCTCTCTCTCTCTCTCTCTCTCTCTCTCTCTCTCTAAGCTAGTCATAAGCCAAATTTAATTTGTTCGTATATGACATTTACGTGAATATTCAAATAGCTTCGTTTCTGTCATACTTCAGTGGCTTTGATGTGCCCGGACTAAAGCGTTCAGCAGAGTTTTGGTGCGTAGCTCGGTGTTTGTTGTAAAGGAAAAGGTTTCGCTAGATTAATTTAGGGTCATGCATATAACATCATTTTTTATGCGACTGGCTTTATGTTGGCCGGGTGGGTGGCTTGTGCTTGTGCTTGTGGGTGGTTGTAACCGCAATCAACTGCCACAGAAGCTTTTTCTGTCAAAGCCCAGATGCAGCTCATATGTGTGTGTGGGTTTTTATTATTTATTGGTAAAAGTCTTCAAAGTAATTTTCTTAGAGTTTTAAATCCTTTGCGGCAACAAAATGTTTTTAATTTATGGGCAAATATGGTCTCATATGTTTTCAGAAAGTTTGCTTAATTACTAGTTCTTAAAACTAGCTAAACCTGATGAATTGGAAAAATTATACTTGTTTCACATGTAATAATGATTGGCTGGCTCTGCTCCCTCGCGTTTTTGGTTTAAAATTAGAATCAACTTTCGTTTAGGCTTCTCCAAAACTGGATTTTCCTTAAAAAGCTCATCTCCGGGTTCCGCTCTACGCCTGGACCTTATAACATTTGTTGGCTCTCTCCTCCAGCCCTTTATATTGATGATGCGCAACAGGAGATGTACGGGCTTCGGCCGCTTATCGGATATGACGCATGCCTCTTTACCGTCTGACGCCTCCTCTGTATTTATTTTATTCACATTGTAATATGTTTTATGTTGTGCATTTAAATCAGCCGCCGGACAGCTTCCATAGCGTTCGTTCCTAGAGTCGAGAAGTCTGTAGGCTCCAACTGAGCTGCAGCTCCAGACAAAGATAATCACCGAGAAGCCCCAGAGTAAATGCGTCCACATTTCACAATTGTTAAAATTTAACTGTGACGGCAGTTAAGTCGTTTAAATATATTAATGTATTTATATCAATGGAATGTGCCTTGAACTTTATCCATAAAAAAAAGTCAACACAGTTCCCAATTGCAGCTGTTCCAGCTTAAGTAAATATTTGTTAAAATTATACCTTTTTAAAATTTTTATAAAAAATTGTCTATCTTATTATCTCACTTTAGGATATAAAGAAGCTAAAGCGTGTTCGATATTGAAAAGGAATTAATGACTTGCTCTCAAATTTTAAGTCCGAGATCGACACGTTCACACAAAAGGCTAGATCGTCTGAGCCTGTCGTCCTTAATGGATTGCTACCATTATTATATTGGAAGAAATTCTTTATTATTACTACCATTATCATATTGGCAAAAAATCTCTGATTTTTACCGTGTAATTAGTTTTTGTATCTCTTTTAGATTTTTATTTTACTACTGAAAATATCAGAAGTTTTCACATGCTAGACTCAAAAACACAATTCCCTTAATACCTTTAGCACAGGGCACACAAAACAGAAGCATTCGAAAGAAATGGAATACCCGCACACGTAACTGTCATTTGTGTGTTTGCCATGGGCCTGGTTGGGGGATACGCCCCACACCATCAGGCTCAATTGTCTAGGGGGGGTCCTCTCTGGGGGCCTGTTCTGGAAATCAGCGTAAGTGACAATCGCGCGTGAATCTGTTACCTTATAAAAGTGACATGAATTCTAAAAGCGTTGCGGCTCGGCACATTAACACATTTTTTATATCCCGTGGAATTGCCCAAGGTGGGCGGCATAATTTTTTAAGTGACTTCTTTTATTTTCGAAAAATGTCAAGTGGGAATAATGCTGCATATATTTAAAAAAAATGAACAGAGAGAGAGGGAGAGAGAGACAGATAGAGAGAGAGAGAAAAAGGGAGAGACCAATAGGAAGAGAGAGAGAGAGAGAGAGAGAGAGAGAGAGAAAGAGAGGGAGAGAGAGAGAGAGAGATACAGAGACTTGAAAACTTCGTGATACATTTATTTTTATACCCTGAACCCATTAAAAATGGGTATAAGCAAAGACGATATAAACACTAAGATGAGTAACGCCCATACATTTGAATGCGATGCAAAATTTCTAGCCTGGCCTTTCATCTGGCCTTTGAGGCTTCGTACGGCATGCCTGCCGACTGGTTGTTCGTTCTCCAAAGACCAGACGAACGAATGCCGAAGTCGTGGCTTGCTGATGCTGACACGAGCTACAAAGTGAGTCGCCAGCCTGCCTTCAGCAAAGCTGGTCGATGCTGGTCGCTTCGTTTTCGAAGTACACTGAGCGCAAAAGTTTAGAACTTACGATGGATGCTTGTGCTTTATCCATGAAATGCATGCTTTATTTAAATGATATATTACCCTAGATATTAACAAATAATTTTACAGGAAAATTGAAGAACTTATATAATTTTTACACAAGACGCTTCTTGCGCAATAACTATGTTAAGAAAATAGCACACATAGATTGATTGCACTTTTCTTTTTGGACAGTGTATGCTAGAGAAAAGTCCTTGTCTCAGCCAATAGCGTGCGTGCGCCGTTCGTTGTATGCGTGAATTATACATGCATAAGAACTTTAAGGTATGTGTTGTTATTCACTGCTCTGGCTTCAGCTGGCAAGAAATTAATTTTGTTAGTTTTCTAGCGCAGATCATGACCTATCCCAAATTTGTGTTGATATATGAATGCATTTTGTGTACTGAGGTTGACTCCGCAGAAAATATGTATTTCTAAGGGAAGGTCGTGATCTGCGCTAAAAAACTAAGAAAATTGTTTCTTTGCGAGCCAGAGACTTTGCCAGAGCAGTGGATAACAACACATTCAAATATGCTGTTATGTATGTATATTCACACGCATACAAACATAATTGCTTGCACGGCCCTCACAGAGTCGAAGCTGAGAGCAAATTCTATTTTTAGCTTTTTCGTTCTCTCGGCTGTGAGAGCGCAATACTACAGGTTTCGTTTTCATTCTCAATTTTCAAAAAATCAAGCTGCATAGTAGCATTTTGTTGTATGGCGTTACTTATCTAACTGTTTATATTGTCTTTGGTACAACGTATCCCCTAGTAGGGAGCTCATGACTAGAACCTCTTACTTGTTATACCCTTGCAGAGGGTATTATAATTTTGTCGTGAAATGTGTGAAATGTCCATAGAAGGAGACATCTCCGACCCCATAAAGTATATATATTCTTAATCAGCATCAACAGCCGAGTCGATATAGCCATGTCCGTCTGTCTGTTTCTATGCGAACTAGTCCCTCAGTTTTAAAGCTATCTTAATGAAACTTTGCAGAACTTCCTCTTTCTTTTGCACGCAGCACATGTGTGAAAACCAGCTGGATCGGACCACTATATCATATAGCTGCCATAGGAACGATCGGTCGAAAATAAAGTTTTTGTATGAAAAAACATTTTGTTTATTAAGATATCTTGACTAAACTCAGCATTTATTAGTTTTACTTTACTCCTCATACATATGCAAAATCCTATTAAGATCGGACCACTATATCATATAGCTGCCATAGGAACGATCGGTCGAAAATTAAGTTTTTGTTTGAAAAAACGTTTTGTTTTTCAAGATATGTTGACCAAACTCGGCATTTATTAGTTTTACTATGCTTCTCATATATATGCAAAATCCTATTAATATCGGACCACTATATCATATAGCTGCCATAGGAACGATCGGTCGAAAATTAAGTTTTTGTGTGAAAAAACATTTTGTTTATCAAGATATCTTGACCAAACTCGGCATTTACTATTTTCGAGTAGAGTAGTCGACAGCAAGTAATGCGGCCATTTGCGGGTTCGAACCATGCCAAGGGAACATTTTTTTGAATTTATTTAGTGTTGGAATAGGAGGGTTCAGGGTATTCCCTAGTCGGGAGCTCCCGACTAGAACCTCTTACTTGTTATATCTATCCTAAATCATTCGTATTATTCAGTTTTCTCATTGATCTTATTTGTTCCTCAAGCCAGTTGACATAGATGCTGATTCGTGTAAAGGCAAAGGGTTTGCCCGTCTCGCATGGCTTACGACCGTATGAGAGCAGGCCATATACCGTATGTTGCGTCGCATCCACTAGAGGTCCACCCGAGTCACCCTGTAAAGAACTCCAATATTTTATGGGCACACAACTCTGATTCAAATACGCACATCACAGGCTCCACGAGGTCCATTTGTGTTCACGGCACAAATTTCCGAACGTGTTAAATATTTAAATTTATATTTAAGAACACACATTTCATCGGAAATGGTACGAAAAGGCACAACTTCTAGTTGCTTGGGCAGGTTGGGCGTTGTGCGGCCCCAGCCGAGTAGAATTGAATTCAAATTGCCGTCCTTTCTGCTGGTGGAATTTTTAAAGTCGATAGCAGCAAATCGAATGTTATCGATAGGTATTGGAGATGCCAACTGCAGCAGTAGAATATCATGACCATAAAGCGGCTTGAACTCCGGATGCTTTTTAATGGCCCGTACACGAAAACGTTGGGCTTTCGTATCGAACAACAGATTTGAGCCAGCGGCCACAAGTAAATCTTTGGCAAGCAGTAGGCGAGGCTTCAAATTACAGTGGGCTGCCGTTAACACAAATTCGTTATCCAGAATGGCGCCGCCGCAAAGGTGCTGGTACCTTCCATTCTCCACCATCTGAATGGATGCTACAAATGGATATTGTATAGGCTTTGGCGCTTCGGCCGGAAGTTTTTTAAATTCAGCATCACGCAGCGCATTAGGCGCTGCTGTTTTGGATAACTCTTCCAAGCTAGCTAAGAAAGTCTTTATTATGCAATCGGTTTTATACAATTTAATTCAATTTCAATTCTTATGTACCCTTGCTGTTGGCCACCTTCGATGCCGTTCTCAAAAAAAGAGGCATGATGAGAAAAATTGTAAGGAAACGGCGGTAGCACATGGCTCACGTCGAAGTTGCGCTGCTTTATTTTCACATTTTGGAAGCACTTTTAAATGGTGGTTTTATCTAGAACGAATTGGGCATGAAATGCAATTTACATCCATTTAATATTATATTATATTGATATATAAGAATATTAAAGAAAATTACCAGGCGTCGCGCGGATCGAATGAAGAATGCTACAAATGCAATTGGTACGATTATTGTTTTCCACCACGCGTCTAAGTGCGGGGGCTCGATCCTTAAACTATGGCCCACTGAGCGACTGGTAAAAGTTCAAGGAATATATGGTATATAATAGCATTGTAACCATATACATGAAAGCTTCGATTATATTTGCTATAAAGTGCTGAAAGTTTTTATTTTGAGAAATTTGTTGATGTTAAGCACTTAAAGAGCTGCATGTTGTGAACTGCTTCCAACGACAAGTACATAAAACTAACTACCCCAACTACAGAGAGCTTCCATTATCCACTTACGTGGAATTGTTTCGTGTACATTGAACATGATTTACGATGACACATAAACAACAGCTTAACTTCCGCCTGAGTTCCATGTTGGGTGACAAAAACCAAAAAAATGAAGAAAAATTGCAGCATAGCCTGAGATATTGACTAAAAGAGCACCCCCCCCCACCCAACGCCAGCATCACTTACCTTTTCCGCTAAAACACCCCCTCCAGCTAGCACATAATGGCCAAATGCATTTGGAACAGGTTTTTCCGCATGTTTTTCCTTTGGTTTTTGCCTTTTGATTTTTTTTATTAGCCCAGAAGTTGTTCCTTAACAGTTCTCCTCCTTTTTTGTATGTCCTCATGTTCAGCCGTGCGTCCAGTTGCCAGGACATTGTGGTCATCATTTTTCTTGCCCAGCCCCCTCATGTGGAGCTGTGTGTGTGTGTGTGTGTGTGTGTGTGTGTGTGTGATGTGTAAGGGCTTTAGGCAGGTTTGAAGCTGCGCCTCCTTTTTGCCCTCAGTCAATGACTGCCAAAGGGAAATTTATTGTTTTGCCAGCGCTTTGAGTCAAAGTTGAAGCGCTTCAGGTGCACTAGCCAAAGGCGAGGGTGCAGGCCGCAGGGCGCCGGGTGCAGAGCGAGGGGTATCACTTTTGACATTTAAGATGCCACACACAATGGCCACTCTAATTTATACGCAACGCCTGCATTTGACGCCAAAATTTGTTCCGGCCAAAGCTCATTTTTTTGTTTAACCTATTTGCAATTCCGATGATTTTTATGGTCAGCTTGATGCTGTTCGAATGGCAGCCACTTGACAAAAAACTGTTGCATTGACAAATCTAATAAACGAATGAATGACAGCTGTGCTCAATTTATTGTTTCCAATATTAACTAAAGCTTTTAGCTAATCGAATTAGTCTATCTCCTGATTTGTAAGGATCGTAAGTTTTAGGTTCTAGTTTAAGTTCTTGGTTTAAGGCTTGATATAATTTATATGGATAGGAAAATTCGGTTATATACAGATACTACTAAAAGGTGGAAACCGGATTTGAACCTCACTGGTTGAAACTTGGAATTCCTTTCTCTATCCTGAACCCATTAAAAAGGGTATAATGTAAATGTATGAAATGTATGTATGCAAATGTATGTATGTAAATGTATGTAGCAGGTAAAAGGAAGTATCTCCGATCCCATAAAGTAAGTGTATTCTTGACCAGCATGATTAGCCGAGTCGATCTAGCCATGACCATCGGTCCGTCTGTCCGTATGTATGATCGCAAGGATAAATGGTATCCAAATTGTTTGTGTGTTTCGCACCAACTTCTGAAGGGCACACAGCTTTTGAGCGGTTGCTTTAAATGCCATCAAGTGTCTGCATTCGCATTTGAACCAGCGACCTCTCGCTTGAAAGTTCAATGATCACATTACGTATATTACTTTTATATATTATATTTTATAATATTATTGCAAAATTTTACGATATTGGGTACTTTAAATTATTTCATTTTTTTTCAAATTATTAAAAACCCAACCCGAAGCCTAAAATCGAAGTCACGGCAGGACTTCTTTTAAAAAAATTGTGGCTTATCTTTTGACACTTAAGAACCTGAAGAAAACTTAACTAATGTAAATATTCATACATATGTGTATTTTTTTTCTGCGCTTCCTTCAATTTCTACACCCAGGCTCTGCAGGTCTTTATTCTTTTAATTGTGATTGTGTATGTTTGTTAATTGTTGCCAGCACATTGTTCAATTGTTTTATGGCTCATATGCACTGCACCAACACTCACTTTGCCTAATTGGGTCGCCCATTATGCCAGCTGTAGACGCTGTCTCAGGTCTCAGTTCTCACATCTCATCTCCATCTCATCTCCATCTTATGGCCAACGCCTTCAGCGTCAGCAGTGTGCAATGTTCCAGTTTTATGTGTGAGCTGCGGGTAAAGACAACCATTTGACAGCTTCCTCGGCTGCACCTCATCCTCCTCTTCCTCCTTCTGGCCCAACCCATCCTGCTGTCTTCCCTTGGTTTACCAAAGTCGCCCACTGTCGCTTCGCTTAACTGCTTGAGGTTTTTTGGTTAAATGCGCTGCCTTCATAAGCCATTAAGGCTAAGTGATTTGTTTTTGTCTGCCGAGCCAGCTACCCGGCTCTCCCCCGGCCAGCTCTTAAGAATAACACCTTGCAAATTGCTAGCTTAAAAATGGGTTTTCCATTTTTTTTTTTTTACCTAAATTTTTCTCTAGACACCCAAAGGCGCACAATTGGTACGAACTAATTGTGCGGAAGCGCAGGCCATTTACTGGTCTGAGTGTGCTCCACTTACAGGAGTTTCTGTATACATATATATAAGATATACCCAAACTGCTCAGTCCAACTGGTGTCAACTGCTCGATGAAAACTCCTGAGTTCAAAGTTTATAGGCAAAAGTTTATACAATGCCAGCGCAAACTTGGCCAAAAGATATGCAAGTTTTTCCATTTGAAAGTTTCAGTATTTCATATACATATTTCTTATAGAAACTACTAAAGTGTCAGGAGCTGTAGTCCTGCTAGACGTGCTGATTATATCTGGCCATTGTTTGGTCCACGTGACATGCGTGACATTTGCCTGATGCCAGAGTATAGTGTCAGAGTGTCAGAGAAGTGTGCGTGTGTGTCTCATATTCCAGTTTGGACCTTGATTGCTGATAACAAAGGGATGTACGGACATGCCTTACATTATGGGGTAGTGTATACCCTGTTGAAGGGTATAATAATTTTATTACGAGATGTGCCAGGCATTGCAAGATATATTTTTGAGCACATAGAGTTGATATATGCTTGATCGAGCGGAGCTGGGTGGATTTGGACATGTCTATCCATCTAGCTAACTATGTGAACTCGGTCAGTTGGAAGTTATCTCTATAAAACTTGATTAACCCTTTAAAAATGGGTAAAAGGATATATTGTAGTTGTACAAAATGCAAATGTATGTAACAGGCAGAAGGTAGGAATCTCCGACTCAATAAAGTATATACCTATGTTCTTAATCAACATCAATAGCAAGTCGATCTAGCCATGTCCGTCTGTCTGTCCGTCCGTCTGTCCTTCTGTCCGTCCATCCGTAGCTAGAAGCTATAAGAGCTAGATGTAGGTTGTCCTAGTCCGTTTCTAAGCAATCGATAAGAATCGATATCGACATCCTGTTTTTTTTTACTAGTTTTGGTAAATATTAAGAGCTAGGGTCACCGAACTTTATATGTTGCTTCTATATATATATATATATATATATATATATATATATATATATATATATAAAGTATCTTTCATTTATACCTATGGCCACCTATAAATCAAGTTAATAACTCGATTTTTATTGCCAACCAATTTAAGCCACAATTTAAATGCAATTGACTTTTTTAGAATACACAAATATTCTATGGTACAATAAGATATGCTTTAGAAAATTTCATAAAGATCGGTTAAGAAAAAACCAAAGTTATATGTAACTGCCCAAGTGGATGGCACAGCTAGCGAAAACATCAAGAATTTATGTATAAATGTACACACACACATTCATGCGCATCTGCTTCGCATTCTAACAGCATTATAATTTTCTGTAATGCTATTTAAGTTCGTTCTTTTCTTAATAATTCGCTATTATTGGTGTGGCTGTTGAATAGACGCATAGAAATTGTTGCGGTCTGTCGCAAGTTTGAACCCTACCTGGGAAACTATTTTTTTGTTTTGCTGGATTGCGAGTTCGAACCCCCAAGGAAACTTTTTTTTTCAATATATCTTTGTTACTTCAAACGATCGCGTTGTGCGAACTGCATTTTGGTGTTGGAATACGTTGGTTCAGGGTATTCCCTAGTCGGGAGCTCCCGACTAGAACATCTTGTTTAATTAAGTAGTGTTTATACTAAGGTTGGCTGTGAGACATCGTCCGTTCTAGGAAACATGAAATTCGGACTAAACTCATTATTCTCTTACTTTTAGCATGTAAGAATATATCATCAGCATAATATTACCATTTCATATAGATATAATAAAAATATTGAAGTGTATTAAATGTGCAGCCCTTAAAAAATAGTTGTTCTAACCACTTGGACCTTTAGTTTAACCAAGGGTTGTGGCCGTAATTTAATTGTGCACTGCTTGGGCAAACCCAATTGGAATCCGCATTCAAATCTCTGCCCATAACTTTCGCTAATCATATTCAAAAAGAGTAAGAATTAATCAATGATTTACAAGAACAATACGTGTGCACATGTCGCCAGCCGGCGGCTACAGCAAACCAAATGCCAAAAAAAGCGAGCTGGGCTGCAACGTGGCCAACACCCGCTTGTTAAAGCTTGGTCCACCCATTGCCCAAGGGCAGCAGCAGTTGGTCCGGGTAGAGGGAAGCGGCTGTGGGTACAATGAGCATGAACACAAATAAGGCGTCGGCGCTGATCCTTGTCAACCACCAACAATAATTTCAATGTGCGCACAACGGGGCAGACGAAGCGGCCGCAGACCCAACAACAACCGCAGCCCAACCACTGGCTGCAGCCGCTAATAATTCAATTAGTTGCCTCAAAAAGATGCC